AACTTGTTTGCATTCATAACGCATTCAGTTGTTCTGCCAATCAGCATACAAATTTAATAACAATCCTCCGGGGGGAAAGTCCAAACTTAATATTAGACTAGTGATCCATGGATGGAAGCAAAACAGAAGCAGCACTTTGGTTATTAAATGTGTAAAACTGCACACAGTTTTAAAACGATCACCATCATCAAAAGCGCTGGCATCCCCGCAAGCTTCAGTTTAGAGTGAATTTCTGACACGTGTGAAATATTAATTACCTCAACGAGTGATGAAAATGCGCTTTAACGCAGTCATCCCTCCACTCGTGCATTGATTTGTGCCGCTCTGTAGGATGTGTTCAGCTGTTCAAAGACGAGCAGAGGACGGAGCAGCGGGGAGGGCCAGCCAGCATCTGTTTTGATTTATTACTGTTTACAGGATGCCATCTATAATTAGAACAAGGGAATCAATGGCATTACAACACCAGCATGACTCAAAGTCTTGTAATAGGAGATGCTGGGTGCAGGGGAAAATCAATCCACGGGAAAAGAAAGTGAGACATAGTGAAAGAGAAAGAAAGAGGGAGGAGGTGGGAAGATATAGAGATGGACCGAGGGATGGCAGGTATCAGGTTATGCAGGTTTTATGAACTTGTTCTGTTTTGATGCAGGACTCACCCTCCACATTCTGTGATTATACCTTCACGTCCTCATGTAGAACCTGCTCATTTGCTGTGAGGGGCACACACACATGCACCCGGCGTCCTACCTCCACTTTAGCAGTCAGTTCTCGATTTAAAAGCTGAACAACATTCCTCCACCATGAAAACATCTGAGTGCATTTACACACTCAAATCCCTCCGCTAGATCGCATACACACACACACACATATGACTGCAGCTGTAAGTGGATTTGCCCATGGAGCTGGTGGGGGGGGGGATATGGTGGAACTGAAATGGGGGCAGTGGATCATATGAACGAATAATTGTGTGCACAAGATTTCAAGCGTCGGGTCCAGCTCAGCGTTCATATCTTCTTCGAGTTAGACTGAATTGATTGTAAACAGCTGAGCGAATTAACTTGTAAGAACATATTGGCCTTGACATTTTAATTGTTTGAGTTTGTGACTTGTCAGCTCGCTGCTGTGCAGTTGTGTGAAAGGACTATGTTGCTGGAACTGAACAAACCAGAACTTCTTTAAACTTTGAGAACATGACAAGTGGTTATTAATGTTTGAGAATGCCATTGAAATGAGCTGTCAGATAAATGTACTGTGAATTGTGCTGTCATTTCCTTATGCATGAGGGAGGGATATAACAGAATGATGAAGTCTAAAACAAGCCACCAAATTAAACAATCAAAACTCCTGTACTGTTGAAACAGATCACATAACACAGAACAAATGCATGAGAAAAAAAGCATCAAACTCGACAGCAAACAGAGGTTTTATCTTCAGTTTAATGGCGTACAGCATCTGTCCATAAATACTTATACATTGTCTTTAATTTTAAAATACTGCCTTAAAGTGAGCATCACCAAACGTAAACAAAGTTACATTGCAGATATGGCGCTTTGTCAGGCAAATCCAAGAGGAATTCCTATTTGTTAAGAGCAACCAAAAGCAAAAGTTTAAGGCAAATTAATATTTAACATCCAAACAGTCGTTAGACATTATCAGGCTGAGTGCGACCTTTATGAGGAAGTCAGGGAGTTCCCGGAGAATCTCTGATTGGCTGGCACGCGCCTAACACGCAGCGAAACTCACAGCTGCACAGATTCTCCTGTTGTCTGTCAGTGTTCACATCTTGGAAAGACGTAAATTAAGACTTGTGTGAGAAATCAGAGGGCTTCATATTGAAGTTAAAATATCAAATGAGCCTTTGATTGAAGAGGCTATTAGCTGATCCACACATCAAGAGCTGATTGCATTTAAAAAAACAAAACAAATCCACTGTACTCTGATACAGAAAACACATCCGCCTCCAGTTCTTTCTCCAGAATATAGCTGAGGAGACACAGCGGGGAAATGTGACACTGCCCTGTAAATGAAGAGCAGCACCGTGAAAGGCACTCTGATTGTTCTGCAGCATTTTAGAGTCTGATTGTCACCGAACACTTATGAGATGTCTGAGTTTCCCAGGACCTCACCATCCAGTGGGTCCGGGCTTATCATTTTAGTAGTCATTTAAAGATTGTTAGAAAATAAATAAGCAGAGGGCTGCACATTTATACACAAAAAAACACTTTGAGCAAAACAAGCTAAATGGATCGCTCAAAGGGTAATAAAGGCAGCAACCACCATAGGCACATAAATATAGCCCTGTTTACAGCACTGAATCAGGGAACATTCATTTCAACAGATGCATCAAAAGCAGGGTACAAACAATACTGACTGGTAAATTATGAAAGTGCAATCAGTTTCAGAGCACGGCTACCAGGGGCAAGAAGACAGAGGCTCTATCATCTGTAATAACATCACTGGGTCCACAAAGGAGGACATACGTGACCTTATGCAAGCAGCAGGGTGCCTGCATTAGTCACAATACATCCCACACACACTCCAATCTTAACAGAATTACCACGAAAATTGAATTTAAACTCGAACTGTGAGTCACTTTTAGTAGGCAGCCTGTCTGGAATGTCCTGTGAGGGAGCAGAGCGGACAACATGGAGTCGAAGGAGAAAAATGGACAACAGGAATGGAAAAATACAAGCCAAAAGGTGGACAGGCACACTGTTCAGGGTTCGGTTTACAGACGTTACATAGTCCAGTTAAGCCAATCAAAACCTGGTTAATGTTTAATACGCCATATGAGAAACTAAAAGTCAGTAAAGGGACTTTCAACCCCCTCCCCTTCCCTACCAAATCTCACCTAAACAAACGTTCACATGCACAAAAGCCAACTTGTTCAAGCAGCAGATTACCCACTGCATGTACACACTTCAGCAAGTGAAAGGAAGCTATACTTGGCTACAGACATCCATTTTAAAGGCAGCCACTGTTTTCTTTTTTTCTCCCCAAATCATTATGCTAATCCACAGAAATAAGGATCTGTAGCTTCTTCTCTGACGCAGCAGTTGTGTTAACACAGTATAGTAATAGGTTCTGATGGTATCCTGATAAGGCTACTAAATGCAAGAACATTCTCATCCACATGCAGTTAAGGCTTAAGAGATAAATAACTTTGCAGATACAGTATATACACATTAAGACTTAAAATTACCTCAAGTATTTACATTGGTAGAATCTTCACAAGTCATTTTATAGCAACTAGTAGTCATTGTTCAACTCACATCAGCAATCTGTTCAAAAACACTATCAAATGTGACAATTAGTCGCATTATACTTACAATATTTGTAACACACTGATATCATTCTGTTTTAATATGATTGTCAACACTGATTCACACTTTGGTCAGATTATGTGCGGAATGTTTTATGAGACAGGCTTTGTTCTCTGTTTAGTCCGTGCTTGTTCATTTTCATATAAATCAAACTGGGTTCGCAGGTAGAGCCAGTCTGGCTGTTTGAATTGTTGCATGTGAGGACGACTGGTGTTCAGGTGTTTGTGCAAGAGGAGTCGGGGCGACGTTGTTGCACAGAGCTGAGTCCGTGCTGGAATCTGTGACAGTGCTTGCCTGCACAGTAGGCTGGCGAGGAGGAGCTGCAGGGGGGAACAACGGTGACTGGAGGATGTCTGCATAGCGCTGACTAGGCTTAGTCTCCCTCTGCAGCACTTTTCTCAGCAGGGGCTTCAACAGCCCGATGGTCAGCTGGCTGCTCTGGGAGTCTGCAAAAGGAGCAGGAGATGTGGAGTTCATACTGGACATGGAGAAAGAAGTGGAATGAGAGGACGTGTTGGGAGAGGGGAGGTTTTTCAGCACCAAATTAAGGATGTTGGTGACAGTGAAGTCCTCTGGGCAGAGCGTCCACAACAGTTCCAGGTAGGGATCCAGGTCCCTGTGATGAGCCACCTCACACAACAGAGTAGTGAAAATCTCCTTGTTGAGCAGCGGACTCTGTTTGCAGAATTTCTGGGCCACCTGGGTGACCCGCTCCCACTGCCGCCTGCCCATGAGGACCCTCAGTGCCTGCAGGATGGCATTGGGCCGCCCGCTGACCAGCAGCAGCTCCACCTCTAAGTCCTGATGCTGGTCTTGGTCTGGGTTTAAGCTTGACAAGAGGCACAGTGCTCGTTTATAGAGTGGCACGTTGTTCTCCCCTCCCTCCCCTCCTCTACTGCCGGAAAAGCTCCAGGAGGAAGAGGCCAGGCTCAGGCCCAAACCTGCAGAGCCCTGCTGCTGCTGGGCGAGCTCAAGGAGCCTGGGCAGCCAGCTGGGCTGGAAGTGAAAAACTGACTGGCAGAGGAGCTCAAATACAGGCAAGGCAGCAGGGGAAGTGGAGCTTGTAGGTTTGGCTTTACAGTTGGCAATGTGATCATCTTTAAGGCTGTGATTGTGTTTTGTCCCGCCGTTTGTGATTGAGAGGGAGGCTAATGAACTCGGAGCAGGACCGAGGACAGTTTTCCAGACGTCTGGGGGAGCCCTGCTGGACAGACAGCCCTCCCCGTTGTAGTGCAGCTGTAGAGCGGCCTGTGCTGCCCTCCATGCCTGACAGGGGAAGATGCTGAAGATGGAGTTGAGGTAGAGCAGAGCCTCTTTATCCAGCTCAGAAGAGGACAGCAGCCTCACTACTTCTTTCTCAACTAGACTCTCACACACAGCCTCCACCTCTTTAACACCTCCCCTCACTAAACTCCCCTTCAGCTCCTCCAGAGAGACCAAAGCCTTGAGCTCAGCCTCCAGAGAGCCCATTAGCTTATCTTGTCCTGCCATACATCCACCTTCTCCATTCTGGGACAGCTCTGCTCCCTTTTGCCTCAACCCTGCGTTGAGGTAGTTCCTGAGGATGGAGGCTAAAGAGATGGGAGCCTGGAATCTGCCTCCTTTCTTTAGTATGTCCACTGTGAGCTGGGTGCTGCTCAGACTCCTCTGCTGGTAGTATTTACAAGCCTCTTCAAAGACAGCCTCCACCAGAAGGGCTCCAGGATGAATAGCCTCCACTGTACTGAAACCAGTAGGCTTCATTTTGGCGTTACAGTCCCTGGAGTCTGTCTCCCTGTTCACGACGACAAAAAGTCCAGTTTCAGAGAGCAGGTGAGGCGTCTGTCTTTCAGCCCTGTTTGCATATAACAACCCCTCTCTCTTCAACACAGTCTTTTCAAGCTCTCTGCCACAGTTCAAGTCAATCAGATACAGATTTTGCTCGATCAGTAGTGCCACAGTATCCTGGTACATACACAGGCTGGTGTGAGTGCCATGTTGCACCAAACAATTGTCTGCCAGTTTGTATACCTTTCGCAGCGTCCCGTCTTTCTGCAGGAGACACAGCCAGCCTGTGCTGAGCAGCAGAAGAAGGCCTCCACAGGCTGTAGGAGAGAAGTTGTAGATCTCAGGGGGCTCCAGAGCCGATAAATATCCCAAACAATCAGTCACCAGCTTCTTAAAGTCAGACTCCTTAGCTGAGAGCTTTTTCAGGGGAACGTTTTTACAGGTGGCGCTGACCGTGAAGGAGTCGTGGTGAGGGGACCAGGTGAGGAAGAATTTGGAGATGGTCAACAGCGGCTTCACTTTCAAGTCAGGAAGAAGATGAACATAATCACCTGAGCTGGCCACGGTGAATTTAGGATTATTGTGGAGGGCGATTTTCACCCCTCCTAAACTGACAGCGCCCTCCTCCACCTCAAAGTCACGTCTGCAAACACAGTATCTCAACTTGTTCCTGGTGGAGCTGAGAGCCGGGGAGCTTTCTGAGGGCGGCCTCTCCTCACACCAGATGATAAGATTGGAGCAAACGCACACGGACACCACTCTGGCTCGGGGGCTGTTGCACAAGTCTGATGTCTGCAGGAGATGCCAGCCAGACTTAAACTCCTGGAATTCCCAGAACTCAGCTTTTCCATTCTCATAAACCACCGCAACTACTGCTGAGCCTCCACTGTTGTGATGGTCCAAATATATAATATCCACAATGGGCACTGTTCGTGTCAGCCACAAATCCTGCTTCTTCTGGTTCTGAACCAGCAGGGGTCTTTCATACTTGTCAAAAGTCACAAGACCGACCTGAGGTTTTCGGAGGATGACATGGATGTGACGAGCATCTGGGCTCAGGCGAACATTTGACAGCTTGCTGTTATTCTGGTTGATTAAATCCGTCAGCTCCTGACTGCCAGTATAGTCCCTGAAATCTGACAGTTGCTCCAACACAAACTGCGCCATTTTTTTTTCCTCCGACAAGCAGCTTGTAAATTAAGTTGCCACAACGTATCAACTAGCCTGCTAGCTTGTGTGGCACATAAATCTGACCTGGGGCTCGAGAGAGGCTAACCATCCCGTTAGGTCCTGTCATCCCGGTTAACGTCCGAGCGGAGGGATACAGCCGCCGGCAGCCTTCGACCGCGTTGATCCCATGTCGGTAGTCGACAACGGAGCTGAACTTTTCGCTGACAGTAACTGGAGAATAACTTTTAAAACCAGATCGAGAAAGGCACTCCGGTCACTCCGATGCTATGCTAGCACTCCCCCCGACATCACGGGATTCTCAATTTCCGGATACCGAGGCTGTTTTTGCATAAGAGGAGGAGCTGGACGGAGGCCGGCAAAGATGGCGAACGGGCCGAGAGAAGAGCAACTGCACAGGCACACCGGGCTGCAGCTGGCAAAGAGTGAGTTTGGAGAAAAGGAGCACTTTCGGAAATTGTGTGCTCTGGAACGCTTTACAAACTTATTCTAGTGCCTTAACTCCGAACTTAATACAGTTCTACGGACATTAACCGCCTGACTACAACCTACAGCAGAAAAAAAGAAAAATAATAGTGAACCACGCAATTTCAAACACTTCACGAGAGCACTTTTTAAAATGTCTAAATTTTTTATACAGACGCTGTGGGCAAAATTAACTACTACTCATTTAAAAAAAATTAATACATTCGATTTTTATTTAAATATTTACACGTTAGGAGAAGGTACAAATAGCTAGCTGGAGCTTTTATTGGTGTGTTCATATTTGGTAAGTCGTTGAGCTACAACTTGGCGATGCTAGCTTCTCCTAGCTTACTTCCAGAAAGCTAGCTGATAACATATTTAACCCTATTCAGGACTTTTGGGGTCTTTTGGACCCCAGGCCATTTGGTTTAGGTGACAGGGTTTTTTTTTTTAAATATAAAAAGAGGGACATTTGTCATGCGTTTAGAACCCAAAATATGTAAACTTATCAGAAAATGTATTTAGCATAGTATTAAGGTCTATAATGAATACCAACAAATATTTTGCACATATTCTTTCTTGGGGTCCGATGGATCCTGAAAGACCTTCTGGCAACATGAAAGTCCTGAATATGGTTAAGAAAAATTATATTTGATTCATAATTTCTTTTTAGACAGCACATACTCTGTGATCCTCAAAAACATTATTTTTTTCTTATCAAAATGACTGCAAGCATTCTGTCATTTTGACAGGGTGTCACATTTTAGCTATACACAATTAGTAAAACGAGACACTATAGAAATGTGCATTTTTCAAGATTCAGAACTGAAGCCTCAGACATCCAGGCCTAACGTCACTACTGGCCAGTGTATAATCTAGGTCGTAGAGAAAGTTTGAAGTCAAGAAAAGCTGAATGTTTTAACATCTTTGTTTTGAAAATGGCAAGTTAATTTTAAAAACCTTAAACTCAGTAGCTCTGTTATACTGTGGGGGTTTGGAGAGTCACTGCAAATCAATGCAAAGTCATCCTTGCTCACTTTTATCTTATGATGAAACATCTCTATCCTGCTGGAAACTGTCTAGTCTATGAGCAAAACGCCCCCATCCATTGGGCAAGAGAGGTCACTGAATAGTTTGAGGAGTGTGACAATGATGCAAGTCATCTGTTATAGTCTTGGCTATCTGATCTCAACCCGACTGAACATCAATGGCAGATTTCAGGCTGGCGTGTTAGACAGTACTTTCCACCACCATAATCAAAACAGCAATTCAGGCAATATCTTTTGGACGAATGGCGTCCATCCCTTCAGTCGAGTCCCAGATGTTTAGGGAATTAATTCTAAGGAGCACTGAAGCCGTTCTGGCAACACATGGTGCCCCAACAGCTTACTAAGACACCTTCTGTTGGGGTTTTCTTTTTCATTTATACTGACATAATGCTATAGGAACTGAGTCCACAGTTGTTAGTTACAGTTATCTCCAGCAATTTGTTTCAGCAGAACAATATGGTGCACATTAAGCTGAATGAAAATGTAAAAGTAGCAATATTTCTACATTTTTCACGTCTTTCCCCCTCAGATATATGAGTTTATTGTTATTGTCTCTCTGGTTGTTGCAAAATGATTAAAAGCAGTTTTTGTTGCCAGCTGCAGTCTGAGAACTTTTTGTCCATCCAAAACTGTGCACAGTTTTTGCACCAGTGTTAAGTCATAACATGGGATCCAGACCAAGTATTCATGGAACTCCATCAAACTAGATCTCCCCTCTACATATCTGAGTTGCAAATAATCTGGTTTCTTTGCTGTGACTAGTCAGTAATTTGTCAGTACACCTATACCGTTTAGGTGTTTTCCTCCAGAGTGCGTACTGAAAACTTCAGAAAGGAGAACTATTAAATATTGGGTTATTAAATATATTCATCTTAAGCAAGATACTGAAATGCTTTCAGCGCTGTAGCTGACTCCAACCGCCGATCTCAATGTTTGCACAAACAAAAAGGTTATAATTTAAAAGAAGCAGAGCAAAGAGTGCTCTAATGCTGGTGCTGTCTGACTAAAAAGAGCTTAGAGGCTGCATTAGGGGATTTGAACCATTTCTAGATAAGCGCAAATGAGGATCTGTGCTTATTTCATCTTCTGCTTTGACAGAGTACTCAAAATATTGTTTTTAAAGCCAACACTTTCAGTGTAACTATGGAAACCAGTTTTAACTTCACAGATCTAGAGACACGAATCCATCTTACCTGGCAAAGAAAAGAAAGCTAGAAACTGTTCCAGTACATCCTTGTTCATTTTGGCAAGAAGCTGTGAAAAGTGACTGGTCAATAACAACTTTGGCAGGCTTAATACCAACCTGAGAAACTGACTCACTCAAATCAGATTCTTAAGAGAGTGCTATCCCACTTCACACCACAGATGTGGCTGCAAGAGGATTTGAGATATGATGTTGATCAGGGCTTGTGTCTGTATTCAAAAAGCCTGGCGGGCACATCCAAAACCAACTACCATGGCACACAGAGACAAAACCTTATTTGGTTTTGATAGAAAATAACATTTATTACACTGGGAGTGAAAAGGTTAGCGGTGACTCTAAGTGAATGTTGACCTGCTATGAAGGCCTGGTTTATTACTTTGTCAAACTTTGATACCGACTTTTAACTCAACACACACTATGAAACCGTGCTGGTATCGACACTGTACTGACATTTAGATTGTTAGATACAGACGGGCTGTGGCAGACACCAGTCAGGGAAATCTTGCTTGATAAGGCATATTTATAGCATATCGGCAGCATTTGGAGACTAAGTCCAACTAACCTAAGAAAGTTCTTTCCATCTTTAAAATGTGCATTAATGCCGTGTTTGACTTTGTGTACTCTTTATGTGCTTCATCTACATCTCCTTAGAAATACTTTCTTGTCCTTTTTTAAAATCTTGTTCTTCACAGCGATCTTTGTACTCTGTTATACATACAGACCCATAAATTAAGGCATCTAATGTTACTTTTGAAACTGATTGAGGACACCAATGATAAAGTTAAGGACTATTGCGTTTGCTTGCGTTTGATAATGTTAAATGAATTAGCAGGAAAGCTTGTGATACCAATAACATAACCAAATCATTGTGAACTGCCTGCATCTCACTCCAGTTATCCATGACACAAGTCTTTTGTTAACAAAAAAGAAAAATCACGTTCTCGAAGCTTAAGGCCAACCTATTCTTTGCTTAATTCTGTAGGTTCACTAAATATCCAGGAGGAGGCAGTATTCATCTTTACTCACTGCATGTGGCTGATTTGGAATGTACAATGTGCAAAATAATGAATGAAAAAATAACATAAAAGTGCTCCCTTCAGCAGTGTTTAATACGGGTGATGTTTTTGTCAGCGTTTCCTATTATCTCCTGGGTGCACAAATGCATTAAAGTGTCACAGACAACATTTGCTGTGTTTTTCAATTGATATCACATGGCAGACCCAGCATCACAAGGCTGATTTCTTCTCTCATCCACAGTTAACTTGTCTATTACGTCTCATGACTTTTTATTGTTTCTATTTTACTTTAGTGCATCTGGGCAGTTCAGTCAGTCCAGTTACATCCACAGTCATCCTGTGTTGGCGGCTGTGTGGGTCCATCGAAAGCTGAGGTGCCTTGAGTGGTTTTTGATGGATGAGATATTGTTTTTTATTCACTTTTCCACCTACGTCTGACCAGTTTGGGGGATCCAAAATAATGATGTTTTGGTCACAAACAGCTGCATCTTTTTTCAGATTCACATGTTGTTTGTCTACTTTTCTGTTACTGGCTGAAAGTAGGAGGTCACACAGAAGCAGCAGAGTGTGAAATCAGTTTGTTTTTTCTTCCTATATATTTTGAATGTTCCCTGACCTAACAAGGTGAACAGTAACTTGAATATTTTCCTTTCAAAGCTGATGCTTTTCTTGCTTTCAGCTCTCATATAAATATAGGCGCTCTCTATTATTGTGCCAGAAACCCCTTTTAAAGGGCAGGTTACCTATTCATAGAGTTGTCTGTATGTGTGCATTATTTCCTATTATGTCTCTGTGTCACTGCTGATAAAGTATATGGATCCACGATGTTATTCAAACAGTAGATTCAAGCCTCATCGCCTACAGACAGGCTTGCCCTGGAAAGAAAACACCTTCTATTAGGGAGTGTGTTTAGTCTGCTGTGCCTGTAGACAGGAAGATAAAGTGCTTGTCTGGAGACTAGAGGGGGCTGAATGCTGGGGAGATTTCCTTTTTGAGTTATAAGGCGTACAAAAGAAAACCAATGGCTGCAAATTTTTTGCTGCTCTGGGTAGAGAAGATGGGTAGGCTGTCATGTTTGCATCCCCGCAGGATAGAATTATTTTAATTTGAGGTTTAAAGGTAACGATTGTCTGTGCGTGTAAAAGTTTGTGTGAGAGAAAAGAAAGATGTTTCTCAGTGCGTTTGGGCTTTGAGTGAGATGCTACTTCTATGTATCCGGGTGTCAAATGAAAGTTGCTGCTGCCTGTCAGCCTCCTGTCTCCTGTGAGAACAGGCAGATATTACTGTCAGTTTGCTCTCGCTGCTGAAAAGCTGTCATGTGTTCTCTCTTACCATATCTCCCTTAGCTTCTTAAAGTCCCTTCACTGGAGCATTTTGTCTCGAGCTTCAAGGGTCTTTCATTCAGTCGAGTCTGTGCTGACATACGGTAGCATTGTGGGAACTGAAGTCATCCATCATTTTTTTTTTATACTCTTTTATACTCGTACAAGAAAAAATCCAGAATAAATGCATGAGACCTGAAACGGAGGAATGGTG